CGAACGGGGCTCCTGGCCGTACTACTAGGAGCAAGGACGCTACTAGGTTAAAAGAGAAGCATGTTTCAAAAGCAAAGAGAAGGTCTCTGCTTCGTCCCTCCGGGCCAATTCGCACCTGCTGCATATGTGGATTGTCCAGGTACACCGAAGAGCCCCGAGCTCGAGGAGAAGGCCAACTGAACCGAACAGGGAACTCTTATGTTTAACCTGCAAGTGCCTCCTGTTGCAGACAATTTGATCATGTTAGAGGTTGAATTGTTCAATAGTTTCAAAGCAAGGCACCTTTTTTGCATTGGGATACTTCTTCCTGCGGCTCTGGTCCGTGGTACGGGTCATGGTATCTAGATGTCGTGGCCGCTCAAGAAAATGCTCTTAGCAACCAACAAACGACGTCCTGAGATGCAAGGCCCCGCGCATCTTTGGATAAATGACCTGCCGTTCTTCATTCATAAAAACTGTCACTCTCTGAACTGCTCGTTCTTGCAAAGGTTCTTGGCTTTTCGGGTCTGGAATGTCGTGTGAGCAGTCTTGTCTTCGTCTGGTGCCTTGCCTTCCTCACATCCTCCTTCGTTAATTTGAGCAACACACCGTCCTGTGGACATGACACAGCTCGGGTTTTTCACCCGCGATCGTTGATGAATGCGCTTTGCTCTGCCGCTCCGCTCCCCTTCTTGCCTTCACGGCCCCGGCGCAATGCACCACCAGATCACAGTCAGGAAGGCCTTCCACCTGGCGATCTTCCCACGGCATCGAAAGGAGTCTTAGACGCATGGAAGTAGTGCAAAGGCTCGGTTCACATTCTAGGCAGCCACGTCCATCCAAATCAAGTGGCCTGTTCCCACTGCGCCACGTCTCCCAGACGTACCTGGCAGTGTGCTGCTCCCTCGAAAGCCAAAGCAAAGCCTTTTTGCCTTTGTTGACACAAGACTTCAAGACACATCTGTGACATTCTTTCCAACTTGGTCAGTTCCAGCTCCGAACCGGTTTCGAGCCTCTACGGGTAGTTCTCCTGACAAGCTCTCCAAGAGCTCCGCATTGGCGCCTCGCTTTCGGATGAAGTCGGACGGAGACCGACTTCAAAAGGAGCTTGATGAATTATGAATGGGAAGCTTTGCAAACCCAAAGAACGATAGGCCTGTGCATATAAATGAATTATGTCGCAAAACATCTTCTGCATCGCCCTGTCGACACTCAGAACACGACCTGTGGACTGGTGACGGCCAAGCAAGACCAAGGACTTGGCCCTAGCGGAGAAGAGGGGTGGCGACGGCCGCCATGCCCACTGCAAAACCGAACAATTGCGTAGGAATCGGCAGCTTCGAGGCTTTGACATTTTTGGACATTCCCCGCATCTGGTATGCAATCTTGGCCTACGTCTGAACTCATCCACCAAACACCCAGGTGACGCTGGATCGACACACCAGGTGACCCTGGTGACGCAGGGGACTTCCCCTCCTCTCCTGCCAGTGTCAGCCAGCCACTTGGCCACCCGCAGTCCCAGTCCACGCAGGCCACCCGTGACCAGAGCTCGCTGGTACCTCCACGTCAGAATAAGGCGAATGTCGAGGAAGAGGAGTCTCCCAGAAGTGGTGTTTAACCGGAAATTCATGGAAAATCTACAGGAAAAGCCATCGTGGGAGGGCTGAGAAACATTGAAGAACCAATGGTTTCCGGTTGATCTTCCCCTGGTTCACCACCCCCAATCGGCGAGTGACGTTCGGGAAGCCCTTCGAGCTATTTCGAGAGCGTCACGGTGTTGGACTTGGGACGGTTCGGACTGTCAGGATCCGTGGGTTCAGATTGGGAATCATCCCCACTATCTCCACCGGGCAGAAGGAAGCAGAAAGAATGGCTCAAAGATGCTTTCAGCAAAGAACGCACTTGGCAACATATCAATGAGAAAACGCAGATGATGATGTTCACATGCAGTGCACCCAATGCACTTTCCGCCACACACCACAACCACGGAGCGGCACTCCGCGGGTTCGACTGCCGCTGGAGGACGAACGGAACGCAGGCGTGGCTCAAACACACCTCAGAGGAGAAAAAAGAAGCTTATTGTTTCTAATGGCTTCTTCTTACTACTAGTAAGGCACCTGTTACTAGTAGCGACGCACTTGTTTCTCATAGCTTGGAGTCAACTCCGAAAGGAAGCGGATGAAAAAGGACCCGAGTCAAAAAGTCTCTCCGCTTTCAAGGAACTGACTTGCACGCAACATTGCACCCTGTCCGACCTGTCCTAACTCTAAAAACGTTCCACCGCTCTAAGAAAGCTACTAGGAACAGGTGCATCGCTAGTAGTAACAAGTGCCTTACTAGTAGTAACAAGAAGCTATTAGTAACAAGAGGAAGTCCCAAGGAATAAAACTCCAGACTGTTCTTCTTGTCGTCACCGATGCCTGAGGACGTCAGGATGAACTCGCCCGTTCGCGCCGGGAACCTGAGCGTCCGCGGAACCTGTTTTCCCCGGTGAAACCGGTCCGCGAGGGGGTCCGTCCAGAAGCCTTAGGAGGTGAAGGCTGACAAAAGAGAAAGCTTAGCTCTTCATCTGGACATAAAACTCCCGGGGCCTAGCCTATCCATAGGCCTATCCTAGGACCTAGGATACCCTAGAGATATTAGCTCTTCATCTTTTGTGCTATTTCTGAATCGATTCTTTCAGTCACTTTCGTCCGGGTTCTTGCCTCCACGGTCTCCATGGTCTCCACCAGTGAAACACTACACATGTTTGAACCGAGATCACTTGGAGAAGTCATCGGGAGTGCGACCAACGGGGCCGCAACGGCTGGAGCCGTCCAATTTGGGCCAGGCTGCAGCACTGGGGCCTGCCCCTCGCGGCGGAGGAGCCGGAGTCGTAGCTCCGGGTGCTCCTAGGCCAGCAAAAAGATGGCTCAATCAACTAAGCAAATTCAAAACCCATCACAACAATCTCTTGAGCTGAAAAAGTCTTTGATAAAGAGAAGCGAAACATGTTGAACCCATTGAACCCCCTCAAGACATCCCAAAAATACTCAACTCTCTTCATTTCCCACTCTTCTCGTGCTGCGTGGTCCTTCCCAAAGGTTGCCAAACAAGGTGGAATGATTGCGGTCCCAGCGTCTTTCATGGCACTGCGCAGAAATCCTAGGAGCCCTGCATACCTGTCAGACGAAAGACGGTCCCAACCGCTCAATGAGCGAAAATCGAGCCCCCTTAGGCGAGCTGAAAATCGCCTCAGCGTGTTGTTGAGGATGAAGGCCACTTCGAAGGTGCTCTTAGACTGCGTAAGCCTCAAAGAAGAACAGATTCTTGAGAAGCTTTGTCTGATTCAGGTGTCTGCTGTCGACTGCTTTCGACTCTACTTCTGTGCCAATCAGAAGAATCTGGTGGAATCTGGTGAGCTCATTCCAGCCGAAGCGACTTTTTGATCAAATGCATGCAATTCAGGAGCAGCCCTTCTTGAGATTTGTCGTTCACATCTGGCTCCTTGGACCAACTCGTCTCTTGCTGAAAGAAACTTACTCGCTGCAAGAATACTAGAGGTCGGTCATATCATATCATCATATCAATCAAACTTTGCCGAGCTGCCTGAGCACTGGTTCCCAAGAAAATTAGGAAGCCACCTCATTCACAGCAGTGGAAGCTAAGGCATAGAAATGTGCTTGATGTTCTTTCAGAAGCCCATGCTGTGGAAGGAGTGCAACAGACCCGACGGCTGCCTGCAGCCTTGGCAGCAGGGACTGCACGTTGCCAGGTGGTCAGCACTGTAGTTCTTGGCATCCCCTGTCAGGACATGAAGCAAGACAATCAAAGAATGGGAAAAGAAAGGGAGAGAGAAGGGGAGATTGAAAGACAAACAGAGGGAAAGAGGAGAGAAGAAGAGAGACAGAACAAATCAGAAGAAAAGCAAAGCAACAGAACAATGGGATCGAAGCAAGGAACAACGGGATAGGAAAAAAGGGAGAAGAGAGGAGAAAGCAGTGAAGCAAGAAAAGGAAGAGTAAAGAAAGGAAAAGGGAAGGAGAGCAGAGAGAAGAGGGGGATAGAAGACAGCAGGGGAAGAAGGGGAAGGGAAGAGAGAAGCAAACACATAGAGGGGCGGCACAGGATAGGACAGGATACAGGAGAGGAAGAGGAAGAACTCAAAAAGATAAAGGCGACAAAAAAGGGAAGAAAGGTCAGGAGACCGAAAACGAGAGGCCGCAAAGGTCAGGATAAAATCAAACAGCTGAAAGAAAGGCAAGAGAAAAGCTTCAAGAGAGGAACAGAAAATAATGAGAGGGAATAGGAGAAAGGAATGAGAAAAAGAAAAAGAGAATTCAACCACTGAACCAAAAAATGGAAGCAAAGGACTTGTAGAAGATTCGAGAGGGCCAGAATTCACCACATTCACCTGCTACGTCATGACTATCTTCACCAAATTCACGTCTCCACGCATCAGCGTTGGCACCCACCTCTGGCATGGATGATTCATCGCCATCGCACAAGACCGAGGCAAGTTTCCTCAAGGGGTGATGTTGTCGAAGCGATCGCACAAAGAAGAAATGGAGGACTTGCAGAAAAACGAACCAAACCAAACACACCCCACAAACCAACAGGTGTCGGGAAAAATCGAGGAATTCTTCGAACCCTCGTCGTCCGCGGTCTTTTGGCCTCCGAGGATCGGTTTCAGCTCGCTCAAGCGCACGGCCTCGCGGGTTTCTTCATAGAACCAGTCCTCAGAGGTCATGGGTCGTGCGCACGTCGTCTCTTCGGGGCGTGAGACGCCGTGTTTTTGGTTCACGGCACCTAAGGGTGAGTCACAAGACATTTCGGCGCAGGTCCCGAAAACAAATATCATACATTGTCATGATCAAAGCTACATATATCTTACTCATGACTCATGCCGAAAACATATGCTTTTCGATCAAACAAACCCGACATCTCGTGGAAGTCCCGCCTCCAAGCCTTTTGCCTCTTTGACTGGCACATGATGCACCGGACGATGAACTGGAACTCCGTTCTTTTTGCCCAATGAGGAGAGCAAAGCCTGAAAATGCGTCACAATACACTTGACGCAAAGAAACGCCTCCCAAACGTCTGAAGCAAAACCCGGTCGTGAGTCTGCCCTTTCTGCAATCCCAAGCTATGAAGGTCTTGTGGCAATCCTGGGGCTTGCCCAGTGGTTGTGCCTCCAATGGCTTTCTTTCCCAGGTCACCTTCGGCATGGCGGGTGCATTCCTCGAAGCGGTCTGCCGGCTGGAGTTGCCGGCTGAAAGTGGTCCGCCAAGTCAGCTGGAAAAAGTCACAGTCACAGGCGTTCCACATTCTTGCAGGTTTACTTGTCAGGTCAGTTGTCAGTTGTGTTTCTTTGGTAAAAGAATCATTCATCTAGCAGCCGCTGTCCACTACCTGTCCAAGGCGCTGGGCTGAAGCTTTGAGTACCACGTGCGCATTGGTGCCACCAACGCCAAAAGAACTCACACCGGCCAAAGAGCCTGACAGCAACAGCCACTACCCTCACCCTGCCCGCGAGCCCAGCAAAACCCTGCACCTTGCCAGCTTTCGGAGATGGTCGCCAAAGTGAGCGGTGTCCTGCAGACGAACAGGCTCATGTTTTGAATGAAGAAATAGCAGGTGCTCAAATAAAGAATGACTTCACTTATGGAAATATATACATGTTTGCACCGCATGTTTCAAGAGCTTCTCACTTCTCTTCCAGTCTTCTCTTGGTCTACACGATCTCTCCTGGTCCAGTCGACCTCCTTGCTGGGATTTACAGCATGGAGGGACGGCACCATGCACTGGTGCTTCAGCATTAAGGCAGCCCTGAGAAGAATGCCATGAAGCTGCAGACATGCACTACAGCCACTGAGAAGCATCTGCAAAGCATTTCAAACTCTCAGTGCAAGACTTAAGAAGACCTGGCACTCCTGCAACCGACACGCTTTGCTGACAACTCTATTCACATGGGTCAGGGCACGAGGGTCGACTCAACTGGACCCAAATGGCCCTACGACGTGTCTGACCCTATGGTCCACCTCTTTTGCCAAGATGAGGGGTCAGGGTCAGGGTCCCCAAAGTCCCCACAGCTTCCAAACTTCGGCAACGCAAAATTCGTTTCGGAGCCCCAAAAACCAAAACCGTCCAAAAAGAAAGGTTTAAAAAAGGAAAGAAGCGCGTCTCCTGCAGCAGTGTTCAAATGGCCCACGTTGCCTTTCGCCGAGCCAAGCAAGACTCTGTGGGCCTCCTGAAGAGACAAGGACAAGACCATAGAGCCATAGGCAGCCATGTGCCTCTTCTTTCTCCTGATGCCTCCAACAGAAATGAGCTAACAGGAGAACTCAGGAGAACCAGATCGCCGCTTTCACCCTCGAGTCACCATCGCCGTTGTGCCGCGAGAGGGAAAAAGAACAGAAACCTCCCGTGCTTCGCCGGTCACCGATCTCCGTGCATCGAACCCTCTCCTGGCAGACCTCCGTAAGGGCGGCCACTTCTAATGGATCCCCCAACTTGGTCCCGGTGCCATGGCCCTCCACATAATCCAACTGAGAGCCTCAGAAAGGATAGTGGTCAGTCCACATTTGAGCGTTTTGTCCTTGGTGGTTGGATGGATTGCCTTAAACCATCTGCCTTCGAGCATGGTACCTAAAGCATCCCTTTCAAAATTCTAACTGTGACCAAACTCAGCGTACTCAACTCTTCCGATCTTCTACAAGTTTCCTTTACACTTTTGAGCCACAGGTCGTGGTGCATCTCACCTTCACAAAGAAGTTTCTTCCAAGTGACTCAAGATCCCCGCGTCCAGATGCGCTTGTCGGATCACCTCCACTTGACCTTCATACGAGGGCCTCAGAACCCGCACCACGGTTGGCCGACGGTCGCTTCTTGGAACCTCGAGCCGTGAACAGCGGCCGTTTTCGTCGCCTTTCGTCGTACCGAGCCACGCGGAGAAGGTGGTCTTCCGGGCGCCGTCGTTGTTGGTCGCAGAGCCTCCGGTAGAGCCGACCGAGTTCAAGGAGGTCATACGGGGAGCGACGGGAGCATCATGGGCAGCCTCGGAATGGAGTGGGGAGGTGAGCCCAAGACTCCCAAGATTTAGGTGTTTTTCTTCGTTGGGTTGCTAGTAGGCAAAGAGTCGTCACATGGGAGGTCTTCCAATCTGTCTATCACGCTCATCTTCCGCATGAAGGTCTTTCCAGGAAACAAT